TGCACGAAGTTTTTCTGCTTCCTCCTGAAATGCATGTCAAAAAAAATTATCCATTTGCAGCTCAGGACTGAAGGGCCTGGGAGAGCTATGCCAGGAGTAAGAAAGTACCGCAGTTACAAAATTAGCATAAGGCCTCCATGTTGAATGTCCAAGTGGTACTGGTTCCCTGACCCAGTGGTCCTGCTAGTCATTTGTGTGCGTTTTTTGCATCTATGCAATGCAAAAACGCATGCTGTCGAGGAGTTTCCAGTGTGTACGCGTGTGTGTGTGTGCCTGTATGCACGTCTGTACCGATTCTTCATCTCAAAGCCCACAAAACAAACAAGGCTGAAATTCTGGGAACTTAATCTATATAATAATCCCCAAAATGAACATCCTGCCCACGTGGGCCCTACGTATTGTGAAAGTTTTTGTGGATAAGTTGCTAACTCGAGAGCCAGAGGAGCCAGAAAGTTAAAATTTTAAGCGAATGTTTTCTGTCTACGCACAATCAAACGACTTCAAGTTAGCCTCAGGTGCGCAAAGTTCTGCCCGCGGAAATTTTTTATGGGAAAGTTGTTAATTCGGAGGCCAGAAGAGTCAAAAAACTGAAAAATTTTTATGGGAATATTTTCACAGTCGTGGCAGTCAGTCTCAATTCTGTTAGCTAGGAAGCATCTGCAGGAATCAACAGTGCCGTCAGCAACAAAAACCTCATTAGTAGTACCCAAAACAACAAATTAAGCCATCAAATTAAGCCTTTCCATATTTGCTTTTCATAAGACTTGGAGGCATTCGAAAATACTCTGAGGGGAAAAGGTGCCAGCAGCGGCCACATAATAAAAAGGCTATCGATGGCTTCTTCACAAAAATTCAAAAATCAAATTACGTAGGCAGCCAAAAAAAAAAAAACAACGATTTAAACTGTACCTTCAGACAATATTGGAAAGACTGTGCTTGGTATTGCGCATAATGAGCGATATCTGTAAATGAACGTGTACTATGGCATTCCCATGTTGGTTGTCCAAGATGATCCACGTTCTGATCGCTGGGCATCAGATACTGTGATCGTATTTCTACCTGAAAATCTAGAATTTACAGGAAAAACAGGCCACCCTTTGCTTTTTTTTTCTTTACTTTCTCTAACAAAATTTAAGTCATAAGCTTTTTTTCCCTTCAAAATACACATATCCGTAATTAAAATATACACAGACTGTTTCACAAACGACACATGAAATGAGAGAATTTACATTTCACAATGACGAAAAATTATTAAATTTAGGAGTTCAAAATGCCCTTTTCCACTCAAGCCCTTGCGAAAAGCAGACTCCTAGTTGGCGAAATGCTTGCCCTTGATTCAGCATTACAACATTCGAGGTCAGATGGTGATGCTCAACAAATACCAAGTGTAAAGGGGAACCTGAATTCCCCCCTTTTTCACTCTGTAAGTTTTATAAATAAATTTTAAAATAAAATATTTTATTCAATAAATACCCAAAAAAGAAGGGGGAATTTAGGTCCTCCTTTACTTAAGGACATCTCAAAACCGCTAAAGCCTTGGTAAACT